ATAAGTAAATCATGTAAAGTAAATCATGGATGGTCTTATTTTATTCATGCAATCACTTGTACTTATATTTGCTTAGATACAATCATGTTACTTCAAATATTTATTCATTTCTTATTTTGTTCCTTATCTCCCTATTCTTCTCTAACACAAGACTGGTCCTAACTGCCTTAACTGCTTTTCTCCAACTCATATTCCTAACTCATCCTAAATCTAACTGAAATCCTCTCTAACTCCTCTTTAACTGTCATCCATTCTCTTATATATCCCTAGTCCTGCCTTTTCTGTACAGCCATTGGCTCCTGAATCAGGGTTCCATTGTGATGGACAGGAGTGGTTACTGACCTGTCCGTCACAGTAATATTCTCTGTAAGGAAGAATAGGTCAGGGTGGAGAAATATGCTTCTGCTTCTCCCAATGTTTTTGGGGAGAGTGATGGGAAGACTCTGATCCAGAGAGTAGAGTCTCAACTGCCTGCCCTGAAGAAGGGCTAGTATGGGCAGAGGCCTGGCTGGCTGGTGCCTCAGCCATTGAAAGGCCAGTACGAGGAGACGGACTCCTGGTAGGCACCGGAGCCTGAGTCACTGCTGGTTTTGACTTGTCTCTCTCAGAAGTCGAGCCATGAGCCTCCCTAGAGGACTCCTCCAAAATTGGCAATGGCAAGATCACCTGTGGGGGCTCAATGTGTACCGATTTGGCTAGTTTAATCTTCTTGGTAACAGATTTTTCTTTCTTTTTCTTAGCTAGCTCATGGGATCGAGCTGGGCTTTCAACGTCAATGTTGATTTTTGTTTCAACATCACCTTTCCCTTATCGGCAGTCTCCACAGCTCGTGGAGATGGAGTCATTGGGTCAGGAGCTGGCTGAGGTTGAATCTGCCGCTCTACTGATATGGCTGGCGATCTCGCCACTTCCATAGGGGCTGACGGAGGATTTAGTGACCTCTCCCAGAGTTAAAAACGGAAACTGTGGAGCCTGAGTTTCAGTGCTGGTCTTGTTAGCTTTTTATAAGCTGCACAGGTATGAGTAAGCTGCTCACCCAAGCAGAATAAACAAAGCTTGTGGCTGTCAGATAACGGTTTCTTGTTTGAACAGCCACACAGCGTTTGAATGTTGAGGCAATAAAGAGCAGGAAATCAGAAGGAACGACGGTTGTGGGGGGGGGGGAGCCAAAAATGGAAAAGGTCAAAAAGTAGAAATTCACTGGGGAACATTGATTACTCTGTTAGAAAATAAGCTATCAATTTAGTTTTGATTAGAAGAGGAAGTAATGAATAATCACTAATAATCGCTCAAACTTGCTCTATTCTTCCGTAAATCTGATCACCTTGGTGGAAAAAAGGAACTGAGGGGAATCTTGGCTGGGCGGAGCATGTGCTTCATGGGGGAATGTCCCATTAACTTTGTAATTTTAAGCTCTAGAACAACCCACTTGTGTGTATTCACAGAGGCTACAAAGAAGAAATGAACTCACCGATCTGATAGCACTGTATTTGAATTGGCATGAGACTGTATGAAAGTCAAGTATCAATCCATAGGACTCAATTTACACTTTACAAGTTAGCCCCAGGGATAAAATTCATTATTGCAGCATTTGTAAACCAAATGTTTTGAAAAATCAATTGTGCTGTTTCAGCACAGGGGAGGTATAGTTAATTGCTCATCCCCCTTTTACACTGTAACAGGCATTTCCCAAATATCTTCTGACATTCAGGTTGCAGACAAGCAGCTGTCCATTTATAATGTTGTGCTTGGAGGGACAGGAGGTGGAGCCTAGAAGAAGAGGTCTGGAGTCAGCTGCGTAAAAAGCCTCAGTGCCACTCTAGCTATCATTATGGCAAGGCATTTACAGTGGTGCCTTGACTTACGAACTTAAATCCGTCCTAGAAGATGTTTGTAAGTCAAAACATCCATAAGTCAAACCAGCATTTCCCATAGGAATGCACTGAAACCTGATCAATCCGTTCCGGCTGTTTTTTGTTCTTATGTTGAGGCGTGGTTTTTAAGCAAAACCGGTAAATCTGTCCTCTACCAATAGGGGGAGAATTTTTCTTCTTTTAACCTAAGATGAACTTAGGTTTAAAAAAGGGCAGGAGGGGAAGGAGGGAGGGAACAATGGGGAAAAGAAGAAAGAAAGAAAGAAAGAAAGAAAGAAAGAAAGAAAGAAAGAAAGAAAGAAAGAAAGAAAGAAAGAAAGAAAGAAAGAAAGAAAGAAAGAACACAAAGACCACTCAAAGGTTTGTGCTTTTAAGCACAAAAAGAGAGAAGACATACAGAGAGAAGACAATGGGGGGAGAGTTTGGAGTCTAAACACATTTTAAACCCACACATGCTAAACCCACACATTTTAAATCCACACATTTTACAACAACACATTTTAAACCAAACAACTTTTAAACAAAACACATTTTAAAACGAACCAAGCAACTTTTAAACAAAACACATTTTAAACCAAATCAAACTTCTTTTAAACCCACCCACCAACATATTTTAAAACAAGAGAGGTCACTTAGCTTTAGAGCCCAACAGCCAGACAGACCTTTGCAAAGTTTTCTGATTTTAAAACCAACAGCCAGCACAGAAACATAACCCCCCACATAACCACCTAGCCCAACCCCAAGCTGCAAAACCCCTGTACAGTAAATGCAGTGTACTCACCCAGAACAGGCAGTCTCTGTTTTAAAAAAGTCAAAAAATAAATTAAAAAGCCAAAAAAAGTCTGTACAGTACAGTACCAGGCAGTAGGCAGTCTGAAGTCTCTTTCTGTATCCATACTCTCTAACCACTGGGGTGAGGAGGGAGCAGACAAGCAACCTCTTCGCTGCCTAACGGTTAACTGAACGTTCAAATTTCCCACTTCCCCCGCCTTTCCCTTTTTTTTTTTTTTTTGGTTTGTAAGTTGAAGCTCCATTAGCAAGTCAAAGCAAAATTTTGCAAACGGAGTTGTTTGTAACTCGAAATGTTCGTAGGCTGGGACGTTTGTAAGTCAAGGCACAACTGTACTGGGACTTGCACCTTCTTTATCTCCTTGCTTACCCTGCCTCACGGGCTTTCTAGCCCCTTCCTGAACATAACATGCATAAATAATATAGTATTGATTTTAATGACAGAAAATTGTTTCTAAAAATTTGTTATGGAGCTGCTCAGATAATGCAATGACTGCAACTAAATAACATCACTTCAAAATTCTTGTGATGACAGATATAAAGAAAACTTTGCATATTGAAAAAATCCACTGTACACTTCTCTATGTGTGCTGGAAAATGAGTTGTACTTTAGCCTTCTGAAGGGATGTGCCAAAGTGGATGAGTTGTCCAGTGTTCAAAGGTAGGAGCAGGTTTTGGCCATCACAAAAGCATAACAATTATATATGTGGTGGATTGGATTTACCTTACTGTCAGTAGATTTCATCCTAAGTAACTTAATGGAGGCCAGACTAGATGCGACACCATTTGTGCAGTTAGCAATTGAATTATTATTTTTAAATAATAAACTGTTGGAACCTAATTCAGGCCCAGTACTCATGGTAAAGAGGACTTAGCCAAAACTGCTGTACCCATAAGGATTGTGGCCAAAGATAACATAGTTCTAACTTGCTATTTTTGCATTGGAAAGGAATTTCCCCATTTGTTTACACAAGATTTCCTCCATGCAAACAGCAGGTATGACAACTTCAAGTCTGCCCAGGGAGCACAGCAGGAGACAAATGATTAATGATCTTTTATCCCACTAGGTTTTCAAAGCAGACAGACATTCCTTGCACACAACTCAATTTCTTTAAAAACTAAATATGCAATTGTTAATTTCAAGCATACTAACATGTTTATTTTGGCCCTTAGACGAAATAACTGAAATGGACTTCAACCAAAGACAAAATTCAGGGACAAAAACACCTGCTTACCAGCCCTTTCTGTTTTGTATCATATGAAACTAAAATGGGCACAGTACATTATGGGACATGTGACTGGATATTAATTATAACATAGTTTATAATTTTTAAATCTAAAATATCAAAATATTTATTGGCTGAAATTCAGTAGTAAGTCACAAGTTGAGTAGGCCTGTTGAATCAGTAGGGATTTGGTGAGTCAACACCTCTGCAAGTTCCATTGATTCAATTGGCCTATCCTAGTTAAACTTACTACCGGATTCCAGCCAATGTGTATTGGATGTTTTGTAATCTGAGTAAAATGGATTCTTGAAAAGTGCCTGTTTATAGAAAACAATCCTTTAATCTTTCTGAAGTTTACATAGAAAGAACAATACAATTTTAAAAAATGAACATCAAGCCTTAGCACAAAATAGTAAATATAAAAGCTATTGTTTCATGTTTTTAGACAGGAATCCTAAGTAGGAGTAGAACATATTTATAGAACAAACTAAAAGAATAAAATCCCTTAATTATTAAAATATGTTCCATTGCAGAATAATGAAAAAAGGCAACTGGTGAATAATTAGCAAATTAGTCTGGATACCCACTGCAAACCTGAACACTTTCAGAAAAATAAAATGGCAGGTTATGCACTACAGTAAAAAGCATCAGACTGATGCGCATAGGATTAAGTTTTAACCACAAAACCCAAAACTTTCCTAATCTGGTTGCAGTCCCTACATGGTTAATTCAACTCACGATAACTTCATTAAGAAAACTACTGCAAATGAAATTGTTGTTAACTGCAACATTCATACTGATAGTTAGGCACAGTGATTTTTAGATTCACATTAAAATAAAATACAAATCCCAAAACATTATAAGTACTCAGTCAAAAAACCCTATCAGCAAAATAATTTGCTGACTTTGGTAACCAAGGCTGCTGACTCCCCCCCCAAAAAACCTGTAAATAACATTTTGATAATAAGCAGCTATTATTAGCAAGGCAGCAAAACAAGGTATTTAAATACCAAGTTGGGTGTATAATCTTTGTATTAAGACTCTGACGAGTTCTCAAATTCCATATGGTAAAAGTGCACGTGAGTGGGATACTGCTAAAGAAATAAATATCCTTTCGCAGTATTCAGAATCTTGTCTAGTTCTGTCTACTGCATTGAACTAAACTCAGCTTTATGAGAAATCAAAGCTTTTTGAATTAGTTATGTACATTACATTGAAATTTTAATATATTTTTTCTTCTCCTTGATGACGTTCCTCTTCTTCATCTGCTTCCTCAATAACCTGAATGTCATCTGTTTGACATAAATATGTGTTTTCTGATGGCTTATTCTCTTCTGATTTATTTTGCTCTTCTTCCTCAATTACTTTCTTCCATATTTTATGATTTTCATTCAAATGGTATATTAACTGACAAAATATTTGTTGTCCTTTTCTTCTCTGTAGTTCTGCAAAACAGGAAAAATAGTTTTCGGTATTTTTCCCTAAATAAGTGTGAAGCAAGTTCTCTCTGCTTAGCGAAGAATTACTATACCAAAAAGATCACTTAATCATGTATTATAGGCAGCAATTTTTACTATTACTTCTAAATCAAATACATCTAATGTGCTACTACTAGGCCAAGTTGAGCAGCACTCTTTCATCAATCTTTCTGGCTGCTTAATGGAAGGGTTAAATATTGGAAAATAGGCACTACACTTGCAAAAACAATGACAGGCAGTGTAAGAACAAAAAGAAGGACCTTAAAAGCAAAAGAAGCCTGAGATAGCTGGGGGAACTGGAGAATACAACATTCAGAAGCACTTGGTGTAAAAAGCAAGCTTCATAAATACTGATAATTGTGATATTCTACTGTATCTATGATTATCTACACCTCTTGCAAATTACACGTTAACTAAGTAATTACATTGATCTGGATAAGCTCCTCTGGCATTTATGCATTTATGATGAGGGCCTTAACATGGCTGGTGAAGCTCATTTAGTCATGGCTAGGAGGACTTTCTCAACTATGATACTGAGTATGTGGAATAATCTCTCTGCTGAAATCAAGAGCTATTTATCTGCCCAGTCATTTTTCCAGATTCCTTCTGGTAGCCCTAGTGACTTTGATGCATTTTTAAAATCTTTTATTCTACCTTAACATTGTATTTTACCATATTTCCCTGTAAATAAGACAGGGTTTTATATTAATTTTTGCTCAAAAAATGCATTATGGCTAATTTTCAGGGGATGTTTTATTGTTTTTCATGTACAACCATCTACATTTATTCAAATGCAGTCATGTCATCTTCTTCTGGTTGCTGCACAATGGTGGAGGGTGGGGATTCACTTAACTGGGACTTATTTTGGGGGTAGGGCTTATATTACCAGCATCCTGAAAAATCATACTAGGGCTTATTTTCAGGTTAGGTCTTATTTTGGGGGAAACAAAGTAGTAAACTGCTGGAGAATTTTTAAATTGGAAATTGATATAAAATGTTTTTAAAAGTATCTAAATAATTATATAAGAAGGAAAATCAAAATCAATCAAACCAAAACCCTCCTCAGTTGTTATAAAATCTAATATTTTGAACAGTTAGGGAGGAGTACCTGGGTCTGCCACCCATCATTCAAATGAGCACCAACAAATTGAAAAGGAGAGATTTTAGTTCTTCCTCACAAGTAGAGTCTACACCTCACCATTGCTCAAATGGGAAAAGTGGCAGTGGAGGGGATGTGTGGCTAAGTGCACCCTCTGACTATGTTGATAATGTTGATTCTGTAACAACTAAATGGCACTCAGTTATTTAGTCTTACTTGTAGCAAAGTCTTCCATTTCGTCCTCTTCGCTATCTAACTCTTCTGCATCATAATCTTCAGAGCTTTCCATGTCATCTTCTTTCTTGTCTACCCATTCTCCTGGAAGCAAGCCTGCTGCATCATAAGAATTGCAGAGGGGACCAACAATATGAGTAATAAAAGATTCCTGTAACTTTGCAAGTTGAGGAGAACGCCGATCCATAAAAGGGCTTATAGGTAATCCCAAACTTGCTTCTTCATCTCCCTGAAAGTTCAAACATACAGAATATTTAGAGTTGATTGAATATCAGCATGACATTGGTAAAAGTGGCATACAAAGCAAACTGATCAACCAATATTTTGAGAAAGTAATATGGAACATGAAATTACTATTAGATCCTTTCATAGCCTCCCAAACAACACAAACCTGCAAGTGTTTGCTTTTAAGATGCCAGTGCAACCATACACTTTCCAAGCACTTGTGATGGGAGTATAAAAAGCTGACTGTGTTCAGCATGTGCTGTCAATCATCACATAACCAATATGTCACAGTCTAAAGCCAGTGTGTGCTGATACTCATGTACTGAATGGTTGTGGAAGCACAACCTTAAGTTACAAATTTTTCCAAAATCTTGTATTGAAAAATGCAGTACCATGCACAAGTATTTTAGAGTCATTGTTACATTAAAATGGAAACTAGTAAAAAATGAGCAACAGCAGCCTCAATATTGTGCCCAGTATTTCCAATATTTTCTAGCAAGAAGTCTCTCTGAAATATCAAATATTATTTATGTTCCTTCAAGTTTGCAACCCAATGGATGAGTGACCTCCAAAATATCAGCTCTGCTCATTTCTTGCACATATTTGCTAAGTAATTATTCTGTAAACTGAAAACTATGACATCTCTTTAAAAACTACTGTACTATGATTTTGAAAAATTGACTCTGGGTGTAATATTTGGTTTTTGATGTACCACCCTCTTCTTGGATACACATCTTAACATAGCAAAGGGGGCTGAATAGTGTACATCAGTGAAACTGAGAGCAATGTGATGGCTCCATCATGAGCCTGGACTCCTAGCTGGAACTTCGTGTTGATCCAATTAAAAACGATGGGACTTCAAGGAAGTTTCTTTCAAGCAGTGAAATCAATTTATTTACAACAAAAATCAATAGTTAAGATTAATGGTCAAATTTTGGAAGATATTCAAATTCAACAAGGTACAAGACAAGGATGTCCCTTATCACCTCTACTCTTTATTTTGACTTTAGAAATATTAAACAGAAAAATAAGGAGAGTTCCCAAAGTTAGAGGGTTCAGAATAAAAGGAAAAGAATATAAACAACAAGCTTACGCTGATGATTTTGTACTATTATTAGAAAAACCGGAGGAATCAGAGAATTAATAGCTATAATTGAGAATTTTGGAGCAGTTTCAGGACAAACAATGAAAAAACCAAATTCTTGACAAAAAATATGACACAAGAAGAAGCAAAAAAATTAGAAGCGGAAACAGGATTTGAACATAAATCAAAGATCAAATATTTGGGAATACATATTACAAAAAACAAAAACAAAAACAAAAAACAAAAAACAAAACAAGCACCTTGATGAGAGATAATTATCTTCCAATATGTAAAGAAATACAGGAAAAACTTGAAACATGGGGCAAATTACAACTCCCATTGCTGGGTATAATTGCTATTATAAAGATGAATATCTTGCCAAAGCTGTTGTTCCTATTCCAAAATTTATCAATATTGTTGAATTATAAATATTTTAAGGAAGTAGATGTGGTGCTTTCTAAGTTTATATGGCAAGCTAAAAAGCCAAGAATAAAATGTAAAGTTCTACAGGACTTGAAAGAGGAGGAATGGTCTTAGTAAACTGTTTACTATACTATCTTCTGCATTGAAGTGGATAAAGCAATGGATTGCGTTGTAAGATCAAAAACTTTTAAAATTGGAAGGACATGACCCATGGTTAGGATGGCATGCATATACATGGTATGGCAAGGGCAAAGCTCAAAGAACTTTTCTTGATAATACTATAAAGAAAGCATTATACCAGATTTGGCAAAGGTTCCAGGAGCAAATGCATAAAAAAAATCCAAATCTGGGTAGCACTGTTGGAAGCATTTACTAAACCTGCCTTAATGGTAGAAGAATGGAGATATACATATAAAGATCTATTAACCAAAAAAAATCAATTTAAAAATATACAAGAGCTGAAGGAAATAGGTTTACAAACAGACTGGTGGACAATGTTAAAATTAGAATCAAGGTTTCAAAAAAATAAAAGTGGGCTTTTATGAGGGGAAGGTACAGGTGGATTAATTATCGCTTTATACTAGTGATAAAATTATACAAAAATGTATACTTTTTTGTTAGAATATAATGTAGAGGATGAAAGGGTAAAAATAGTGATGATTAAATGGGCACAAAATTTTGGTTACAATATAGACATAGACGATTGGACTCAAATGTGGAATGAGAACTATAGATGGCTCAAACCAGTAAATTTGAGAGAAAATGTTTTAAAGATGTTCCATAGATGGTATTATACACCTGTAAAACTGGCAAAATTGTACCTGGGGCTCACAATTCATGTTGGAAGTGTTCTCAGCAATCAGGAACTTTTTTCCCTATGTGGTGGACATGTGATAAAGCAAAACGCTTTTGGAGACTGATAAAAGTTATCTCACAAGAAATTATACAACAAGAAATAGCTTTTAAACCAGAAATGTTTTTATTGAATATAATTCCAGAAATTGTTCATTAAAAAATCAAATATATGTTGCTGAAATGTTAAAATTAGGGGTTGTAATACCATCAGAGAACATGGACACCACCAACAATGCTGGTACGGAAACCTTAGAAATGTTTGATCAAATACTTGATCAAATACTTGATCAAAAGGCTAATGCCCTTTCCAAATGAATGAAGACATAACAACGGTGAAGTAATTATATGCTGGGGTGATTTAATAAATGGTAAGTGTGACCAACATGTTGCAGTACACAGAGATAATCACCCTGAATAAATGTGGTTATTAATTGTCTGCGGTTTCGTGGCCCTGTATGCTGAATTTATTTCATTTCTCTTTTATGACCCTAGGTTTACTGGACTGAGAATGAATCAGGTGCCTACAGACTCCAACCATCCCATTCTCCCCACTGCCTTATGCATCTGAACTACAGTAGTTCTTGAACTACAGTAGCCTGCAACATCTGAACTCTGGTTGCCACCAGAGGAGAACTCAGGCACAAGTACACTTTATTTCTTAGGGAACCTACATCCCTATCTATTTCCTGCTTCAAACCCCTCACAGGGCTGCTCATAAAATAGAGGAATACAACCAAAGGAAACAGGTTGTGTGTGTTTTGCAATGCTGAGTTTGATGTCATAAAAAAACTGCAGTTCGAAAAATAGAAAAGTGTCACCCAAGCTTGGTGTGCAAGGAATTGGGAAGAGGAAGGATACACACAGGTACATGGCTCATTCAAGCACAATAAATCATAACTGGCAAAAGAAAAATAAAATTCTATGCAGGCTAGAGCCCACAAAACACTATTTTTATACTAGAAGGAAGGAATAGTAGAGTGAAGGGTGGTCCTTCCTGATACAAAATTATATCCTTCCTGATATAATTTTGAACCCAGATACCTGACACAGAAACATATAGGTTAATCTATTGCTAACTGCCTTCCATCACAACAGTGATTCAATGATGAATTAATTTACTTTCTATCAACAAAATACCATTGGAATATACTACTATTAAGGCTTAGATAAAGATCATCATGTTTGCTGATGGATAACGCTGCTCTTAGACAAAACTCTACAAGAGCAGTCCCCAACCTTTTTGGGGCTGTGGACCAGCTGGGGAAAGCAAGCTCCATGCGCGGTGGGAGTAGGGGCACCCCCACGTGAGCATGGTGGGTGTGTCATGCTCACAGGGGGCATCTCATGCTTGTGGTGACACGCCAACCACAAGCATGATACAATGGGGTCTCGACCTACGGACTTAATCCGTATTGGAACAGTGTCCGTAGGTCGAAAAGTCCGTAGGTCGAAAATGCATTCCCCATAGGAATGCACTGAAAACCCATTAATCCGTTCCAGCCCTTTCTTCACTGCTGAAAGCACCATCCGGCGAGCCCTTTGGGAGAAACCGGGCGGCGGGGAAGGAAGGCAGGAGCTGATCCGGTCTTTCTCCCCCATAGCGAGGCTTCTCCCAAAGCGCTGCTCCCGATGGTGGGGGGGAAAGACCAGATCGGCTTCAGCCTTCCTTCCCCGCAGCCCGACTCCTCCCAAAGGGCTGGCCTGATGGTGCTTTCAGCAGCGGAGCAGCTGCCCGGTGGGGAAGGAAGGCAGGAGCCGATCTGGCACTTCTCCCCCACGGGGCAGCTGCTCCGCTGCTGAAACCATCATCGGGGCAGCCCTTTGTAAGTTCGTAAGTGGAGCCATTCGTATGTCAGGACTCCACTGTACACCCACCGCAGGCACAACACCCCCACACAAGCATGACACACCCACCGCAGGTGCGACGCCCCCGCAAGTGTGACACACTCACCACGCATGCATGGGGGGGGAGAGATCCATATCTGAGGCCCAGTTCCAGCAAGCCCATGGACCAGCACCGGGCTGCAGACTGGGGGTTGACAACCTCTGTTCTACAATACTGTAAATTCAAGTCATGCTACTACTAGATTGTATTACCTGTACCACAATGTTAAACATGGCTGTTCCACAGATGAATGAACAGTACCTGTTTTTATACAACTCAACAAAAGCCTAGTCTACATTGTATGGTCCCATACATATGAGTGTCACATTCCCAGGGGTTTCAACAGCAAAGGCCAATAAGCCAGTCCAGTATCAGAAGTTCAGAGAATGCAGAGCCGATACCAAAATGCCAAAGCCAAATCACAAACCATAATCCGAGGTCAGGGTGCATAGCCAAATCACACAATGTAGTCCAGGGTCAGAGTCCAAAGCCAAGGCTCCAGAGAACAAGGTTCGAGGTAGTCAGGAGCATGGATGCGAGCCAGAGATTTGACTCGTTGCTTCCACGAGCTTCCCAGCCATCTGGGAGCTGATTATATAGCAAAACAGTCATTGATATCCGGGAAGCCTTTCATCCTGTCAATACTCAGGACTAGCTGATCTGATGTTTCTGCAGGCAGCATTCAGGCGATCCTCTGATCATTGCGTCATAAGTCTTTGCCAAAGTCTAGCCCTTACCCTGGCTACTGGGGGAGGAGAATCTGGTGGCGATTCAGCTGTCTGTGCTTCTAATCGCTCAACATTCTCCTCAGCTGTAGTTAACCCCTCAGGTTCTGGATCTTCGGCTGAACTCATGACAATAAGACATATTCTTTTTAGCATTTCCCTGGCCCAAGAATTCCACTTCTCCAAGATCCACAAGAAATTGTTTTAATTAAACTGTCAACCATGAGAAGATTCTCAGCTCTTCTCCATCCTAGGCAAAACAACAAGTGCTTCAAACGGCCATCTTGTAAGTTTTGCTTGTGTGTGTGCTTTTCTCATGCTGACTCCTGTTATGTTCTTACTACTTTGGACTTCACTTTTCTGCCCTTTTTTTCCTCGTAATATAAAGATAGGCTGATTTTTTTTCCCTTAAGAATCATGAAAAGCACTGCAGCTATAGGTATGAAAACACTGGCTCAAAACATATCTTAAAACAAAACTTTTAATTCTAGAATATTGGAGAGGTACTGGTTTTTTTACTATTAAAATCAATCTTTTTTTTCATAGCTCACACTGTTTTAGTTATATGTTCTAAGATTTATGGAATTCAGGCAACTGGGAATCGGGGCAGATAGTTTGACATCCTTCTAGCAGCTCCTTCCATTTCAAGAAAGAACCCGGATTTCATGGAATTATATGCTTGAGGAAAATCAGGGGATACCAGTTCCCTCTTTCCCTATAGGCCTGCAAAACATCTCTCAAACTGTCCAGGGAAAATTTTTAATAGAGAATGGGACAAAGGACAAAGCAGGGGAGTATCATGCACAGAACCTCCCAGCTTGATCCAACCCTTCTGTGTTCTGAATGATAACAGATCTAGGATGCCCCATGTTCCTCTTTGTTGATGTGCTATACATGTGGATGGAAAAGAATTGAATAAACATGTAACTATCGAGAACACTGGTGGAATAACATGATCGTATCTGATAGGCTCATTCTATGACAATGGAGATGTTAATGATAAAAATGGTAATCTCTAGCAATATCAATTATATTCAATGGGCCTTGAACAGGAATTTTATCTGTTATTAACATATGATTGGTTTGTTAATCTGAAAATATTAACCCTCTGCTTGACAACTATAAGCATACATCTTCATGTTCATCTGCAATATTTTGCCTGTTCCTGCACATAAAAATCTGAGATCAGGCAAAATGCATCCAAAATTGCTCCTTTAAAAAAGGAAATATAAATAACAAACAGTACAGTAATTGCATTACAGGAAATGTTTTGCTTAGAAATCTATCATTTCTGTTTGTTATGGGTGAGTAATCCTCTGGTGAGTAGGAAGGACTTATCCTTTCAGAGTTGCAATGTCAATTATGTGCTTCTTTCTGTAGATGCTGTACAGAAGTACTTGCAAGTATTAAGATGACAAGAGAACACATGACTAGTATCCAACCAATCCTCTTCCCTCCAATACTCATTCAACTATTAACCTCTAGTGCTAGGAGAGTCCTAGTGATCTATGATTAGTGTGCATAGCAAACACACTTTCAGCTCACATGAAGAATCAAATGAAAAAGAAGAAATATCTTATATTTCATCTAACCAATGGCTCTGAACAGATGCTATTTTGGCTACAGTACATTCTTGGATAACTGGCTGGGTAATTCGGTGGTTTAGCTATCTAGTTAAGTCAGAGGTTGGGAATTCAATTCCCAACTGTGCCTCTTGCGAGCACAGCTAGCCTGCATGGCCTTGAAAAAGCTGCACAGTTCCAGGGCAACTCAGAAGAAGAGAGTGATAAACCACTTGTACGTATTCTCTACCTGAAAAGCCTTAATTAGGATTGCCATTAATCAGAATTGACATAACAGTACACAATAATAATATTATTAATATATTCTGGGGGTACCATTTCAACTTGTCAGACTGCCTGAAGATACACAGGATTACATATATCTATCAAGAAAAGATAGATTTTAAAAAAAGAGATTTTGTGCAATATAAAAAATTCTTACTACACAGCCTTACCTGCTCATAAAATTCATTAACAATTCCTTCTGTCCATTTCAAGTGTAGATCTCTAACTTTTGCTGGACCATTGATATCTGCCAACTTGATGCACATTTGACATACTAATAGGCGATCACTCTCATTGCTCCATTCAATACCATGACCGTTTACATCATTAACCTGTTCAGAAGACAAAAAATAATTTTTAGTAATTTATTAGATTAAAGTTTTTCCTTTAGTCCATCATTCCTTTCAGTTACATTTGGTGGGTTTTAGCACTTTCATTGTGCAAGGAAAGTCTGTGTAAATGCTTAAATGTACACAACAAACCTTGGCATTAAATTCAGCAAGGAAATCAAAATGTTTCTTGAGATCTGTGGCAAGGATTGCTTCAATCACTAAGAATCGAAATCGTTTGAATTGTACATGATCAAGATTAGTTAGAAAGTTGTATTCTGGTAGAGATAAGAAGAGACTCCATGCAGAGGCTGCATGATGATTTTCCAGAACTGACCTGTCGTTGTATAGCACAGCCTGAAAAATAATTAAATATCAATGTTTTAGAGACTGAAGTTTCACAAATATGTAAGACATGCTTATGTTCTAACTGAATAATTTGAATACTAAATTGCTTTATTTTTATAGTTGACTACATGTATTAATTTTACAGGGGAACATGATTCTGAGAAGTCAGAAATGCAACCTCTAAAGAGAACCTAGGCAAATTCAGTAAATATTGACTGGTCATAATATACTAGGTGTCAGTGGAGTACCTGTGTTCAGATAGCTATGGAAACATCCTTTTTGCCTGAGTATTAATTATGGTACCTAAACAAGAACTGTGGTCCCATATCTAATGTCTGAAGAAACAGATCAGGATAACATTACTTATAAATTATGGTAAATTGTGGCCATCCTGAATAAGATAGGAACAAATATTGATTGGGAAAAAGAAAAATTATTAGAAGACATCTTCTGTAGCAACATAGTTAAACTGCATACCAAGTCTGTGAATTAAATGAATTAAACATCCAAAGATCTTGGCAAATATGTGTATCTCTGAACCACTTCTGAAAAACACATTGAGAAAATATTTATGCATGGGTTTTGATATTAATAGGTGTTTATGGACACACACACACACACACACACACACACACACACACACACACACACACACACACACACACACACACACACACACACACACACACACAGTACCTGTGGAGCAGTTGTGGCTACCAGAAATGCATTTGTGCGACCAGGATGATCATAATCATGCATAGCTGCTGCAACATATAAAGCCATTAATTCTAAGGCTGGGATATTTGAAGCTAAGCAATCATAATTTTCACCAACAACAGTACAGCTCTTGGAGGAAATATAGGCAACTTGGCCAGCAGAAATATCATTTTCTTCATCTGGAAAAAAAAGTAAATTACATTTTAAAAACATTCAGGGCTGCCAGTCTCCTAGACATTTCCGAGATGCATCTATCAACTTACATTGTTCTCTGGGTTGAAACCAGTGAAATTCTCCCTATAGATGGGAGGATTCCATTCATCAGCAGAACCCAGCTGAACTCTTCTACTGCTCAAAAGGGGGAAGTTATTTTTTCTGTCATTTAAAAACCTGCTCTGGTGGATTGAGAAATCCTCCAGAAAAGTGAAGGAGGTAACACTCCCCACCTTTCTGCTGGCAGGTGATGTCATCCCGGTGATGATATTGTCAAAAAGACTAAACTTGGGATAAAACTTAACAAGATGCATTTATACATCATGTTAAGCCATGGTTTACTTCAGTCATCTTTTCTTACTTTATAATGAATTCTTCCATAGATGACCAAACAAGCTGCCTAGTCTGTTTCTTTCCTTCATCGTTTGTCACTCACTTGGAAGAAAGGGTGTAAACAAACAACATTTTGAGGTCCAGATATAACAATAACCCACAATTTATTTATTTATTTATTTTCTATACTGCCCACTAACCAAGTTTTTTTAGATAATGGACAGTCATAAAAATAAACAAGAAGCCAAGAAGCAGAAACCATTATTTAAAGAAGTTAAAATGTTTAAGCCAATATGCAAACTCAAGCTTTTAACTGTAGATTGTGGTTGGCTTACAACCCACAGGTTGTTTTCAGGGAGGGGTTCAGACACAACATGGCAGTATTCAATACTGTAAATCATAACCTCTATAACTGCTACATGAAAACCCTGTCATAGCAATATATCTGGGACAAGAAGTCTTTTTGACAAAAAAAACAAAACAAAACAAAATACTAATCTTTTTTTTCATAAAAGAAGAAAAGGAGAAAAAGGAATTTCCTATTAGTGTTTCTATATTCTATAGTCTTGAAAGTTGAGGCACAGTACTGAACAGTAAAAACAAATCAAAATGAAACAAAAATATATTAAAATCTAAACATAATAAACTGTAATGAAAGTTTGTAACTGCCTACTAAAACTGAACAGTGGGATGATTTCACATATCTATTGGAGGAAAATCTGATATCCTGAAACTAAAATTACAGACAATTTTTGCGAACAACAGTCAAAGGCCACATTGTTGTGAACCTCCCTCTAAGCTGCTGAATCTTCCACTCTGCACGTAAAAAGGTCAGCACCTGGAGACCTCCTCAAGGTGATAATATTCCATCATCACAGCCCCTCAGTTGTAGTTTGGAGTGGGTAAAGAGATTACTCTTTTCTAAGTCTCTTTGTGCATTTCTTGTAACAGAAAATCGGCATATGTATAAAGAAAAAAATATATTGCCCATTTTCCAAAGCGCCACCAATACCACCAATATTTTTCTGTTCAATATTGGTGAAATTCATACCAGTAGTATGAACCAACTGAGATTTTGCATCTATGTAATTCTTGTACAACCTTAGTTGAAACACTTACCGCATTTTTTGCTCCATAAGACACACTTTTCCGCCCCCAAAAGTGTGTGTGGGGGGGAAGTCTATGCGTCTTATGGAGCGAAGGTGGAGATTTTGCCCCCACTGGCCCTGTGGGGGGAAGCCTCCCAAGGGTCCGAGTGACCCTTCCAGGACCCTTGCAACGCTCCCCCACCCTCACAGGGCCAGCGGGGCCAAAATCGCCACCTTCCAGGACCTTTTGTGAGGATTTCTAGCCTCACAAAAGGTCCTGGAAGCTGGCAATTTCGCCCACGTTGGCCCCGTGGGGGTGGGGGTGGGGGAATGTCGCAAGGGTCCTGGAAGGCCCACTCGGACCCTTGTGACACTCCCCCCCACCCCACGGGGCCAGCGCGGGCGAAATCGCCACCTTGTGGGACTCTTTTGAGGCTTGGCAAGCTTCAGAAGAGTCCCTGAAGGTGGCGATTTCGCTCCCTCTGGCCCCGCAGGGGGGTGGGGGAGCCTTCCAAAGTTCCGAGTCTGCCTTCCAGGACCCTTGGGAGGCTTCCCCCACCCCCACGGGGCCAGCGGGGGTGAAATCGCCACCTTCTGGGACTCTCTTGAGGCTTGGGAAGCTTCAGAAGAGTCCCTGAAGGTGGCAATTTCGCCCCTTCTGACCCCTGGGGGAGGCAGGGTGAGTCTCTAAAGGGTCCTGGAACACACCCTAGGACCCTTTGGAGCATCACCCTGCCCCCCGGGCCAGAGGGGGCAAAATCAGCACCTTCTGGGACTCTTTTGAGGCTTGGGAAGCTTCAGAAGACTCCCAGAAGGTGCCAATTTCGCCCCCTCTGACCCCCAGGGGAGCAGGGTGAGTCACTAAAGGGTCTTGGAACACACCCTAGGACCTTTGGGAGGGTCACCCTGCCCCCCCGCCAGGCCAGAGGGGGCGGGCCTCCAAAGGGTCCTAGGGTGTGTTCCATAAGATGGACCTCTCCATAAGGTTCACCAAATTTTTAGAAGAAAACAGATTATTTTTTTCCTGTTTTCTTCTCCTAAAATTTGGTGCGTCTTATGGAGAGGTGCGTCTTATGGAGCCTCCTAGTACATCTACGTTACTCATTTTTTTCCACAAAAATTAAATGAAGAACATATTATAAGAAAAATATCATTAACTGTTTCAATATCTTTTGTATAATTGGTGAAAAATTTCATTCAAGTCAAACTAGGCTGAGGTTAACAGAACATTTTCAGCTGAGCATATATTAATTAAAATAAGATATTTAATTCTCAGGACTATTTTATTTCTGCAGTGAAATAATTAAGAAAAACTCTAATTACGTTAAATAGTTTAACTTTAGGTATTTTTAGTCTGAGATGTTTCATTTCCTAATTAAATAAAGAATTATTAGTGTAATGTATTTAGTTGCTAGAAACATGCTGACTGCTGCAGGAAGATATAGACCTCATTTAGGAGAAGAGATCTAAGTGAAACAGTTTTGTTGGCTAGGAAGCAAAGCATGTCAGCAATTATTCAATCAATTATCCTAAAATCAGACACAAACTGCTTGTACATGACATCGGCTGTTACTTTTATCTTTCAACCATGAAAGCTTCAAGTAAAAAAAAGAAACTCCAGGATAAATTTTTAAAACTACTTGAAATATATCCATCTTATCTGATTAGGTAAAACTTCTTTATGGAAAAAAAAGAACTAAAATCACATACCTATGTCAATTCCTGTCACAGAATCACTGTGTATTTGCTGAAATCCAGGAATTGGTCTTGTTGTAAGATACCACACAGCATGAAGAACATCTGTTGCATGTATTCGATTGTGATCTAAAATCAGTTTTTTAAATTAAATGATTAAATATGACCATAATATACATTTTAAACAAAAGGACAGGTTACTTACCTGTAAACATGGTTCTTCAAGTGGATCTCTATGAATACACACTAGTGGGTTAAGACAGCGCTTGCACTGGCCTCTCGGAATCTTCTGGAGCTATAGGGAAAAGTAACAAAGTTTGAGTTGCCCTGTATTGCGCAAGCTCCGCCTGCCAAACCCAGTTCCATCCGCCCGCCACATAGTCGGAGTTGTACTCCACTATACAGTGACGGACAGTGGGGAGGTTAGGCGGGATGTGTGTATTCATAGAGATCCAATTGAAGAACCATGTTTACAGGTAAGTAACCTGTCCTTCTTCAACGTGGTCTCTATGAATCCACACTAGTGGGTGACTAGCAAGCTCACTTACCGGAAGGAGGGCCGTCACTGCAGAATTGAAGTAAGGACTGCTCTCCCAAACTTGGTCTCATTCTTGGCCCGAAGGTCCAGTCTGTAATGTGTAACAAAGGTAGACACACTGGACCAGGTTGCTGCTCTGCAAATGTCCTGGATGTCAACTCCTCGCAGCAGGGCTGTGGAAGTGGCAACAGCTCTGGTGGAATGAGCTTGAAGGCCTTCAGGGAGAGGCTTGTTCTGCAATTTGTAGGCCAGAGAAATGGTGGAGACCAACCATCTGGACAGAGTAGAAGAAGAGCCAGCAGAACCTTTACGCTGACCATAAAAATAGAGGAACAACTTTGGAACTTTCCTAAAGTCTTTAGTTCTAGTAACATAATAAGCCAATGCTCTTCGAACATCTAAGGAGTGGAGCATGTGCTCAACATCGGTAACTGGATCAGGAAACAAAGTTGGTACTATTAAAGGCTGGTTAACGTGGAACTCGGAAACCACTTTAGGGAGAAAAGAAACATCAGGTTAAGGACCACTTTGTCCGTGAAGAAGTGAAGGTATGGTGAGTTCGCACGAAGTGCTGCCAATTCACTAGCTCTATGAGCAAAAGTGACGGCCACCAAGAATAAAGTCTTGAGAGAGAGTAACCGAAGGTCACAGGAAGCCATGGGTTCAAAAGGATGACAAGTGAGGCAATGAAGTACCAATTGCAGTGACCATTGCGGTGCAGGCTTCTTTAGAGGAGGTCTCATGTTGGACAGACCCTTGAAGAAAGCTTTTAGTGTGGGATGTGAAAACCACCTGGATGATTCAGAGCCATGGGGCTGAAAGGCAACAATGGCTGAGGTGTAAACTTTTAGGATAGACTTGGAAAGTCCCAGGTCAAAAAGATGCCTAAGATAGAGCAGGAGCATGGACAAGGCCACAGGTGAAGATTGTAACTTATACTCTTTAGTAAATTTGAGAAAGTTTTGCCACTTGTATTTATAAAGTAGCTTGGTAGCTGGCTTCCTTGCTTTCTCAATAATCTCCATTATTGATGGGAAATCCTCCACGCTGTCAAGTGGAGGGATTCCAGGTCCAGATGAAGGATGTTCCCCGCGTCCTGAGTGATCAGATGTGGAAGAAGAGGTAACCTTATCTTGTCCACTGCTGATTGCAGGAGCATGGAGAACCATGATTGTCGTGGCCACCAAGGAGCAATGAAGATTGCTTCTGCTTCCATCTGGAGTGCCCTGATCAGGGCTCTTTGAACGATGGGTATCGGTGGAAAGAGATAGAGGAGCCCTCTGTTCCATGGAATCATAAAGGCATGCCCTAGTGACCCTTTGCCCTTTCCCGCGTGAAAAGCATATTTGTCGCATTTCTTGTTGGTCTGTGTGGCAAACATGTCTGTGGATGGATGTCCCCACTTGTGGCACAGACTGAGAAACACCTCCTGATTGAGTTCCCACTCATGAGATTGAAACGAATGGCGGCTCAACTTGTCTGCCAGCTGGTTGTTTGTCATGGATACATGGATGGCCACAGGGAAGATGTGTTGATGGTAGCACCACTCCCATAGGTGAACTGCCAGAAGTAGAAGGGACTTCTACCGTGTTCCTCCCTGCTTGTTTATATAAGAACATGGTCATAGTGTTGTCTGTGATGACCTGTACCGCTCTGCCCTTCACCAATGGGAGGAACGCTCTGAGTGCCTTCATCACTGCTATCAGCTCCAGGTGACTGATATGGAGCGAGGCTTCCTGAGGGGACCAAAGAGCGTGAATCTGGTGTCCCTCGCAGTGGGCTCCCCAACCCAGGGGACTGGCGTCTGTTGCGACCTGTCGTGTCAACTGCAGAGGTCGAAAAGTTCAGCCTATAAGAAGATGTGGTGGGACTGTCCACCACTGAAGTTGCTCTGCTAGCTCTGGTGTGACTGTTAGACGCTTGCGCTGACTGTCCTGTAGAGGATTGAATAGAGCGAACAACCACGACTGAAGGGAGCGCATCTTGAGGCGAGCGTGGGATAAGGTACAAGTTGTTGATGCCACGAGACCCAGAAGATGTTGTGTGTGTTTTGCTGTCACTCTGACCTGGGGCTTGAATTTCCGAATTGCCCTTCTTATTTTTTGTATGCGCTCTGGAGGTAGAAACATGCGAGCATGGACTGAATCCAGTCTTGCCCTGATGTAGTCAGGGGACTTTTTGTAATTTATTGACAGGCCTAGCGCCTGTAGAGTGTGCAGAACATGCTGTGTGTCCTTGACTGCTCATGCTTTGGATTTGGACACGATCAGCCAGTCGTCGATATAAGGGTAAATCTGTATCCCTTGTAGACGGAGGTAAGCTGCTACTGGGGCCGGGCATTTGGTGAAGGTCCTCAGAGCTGTTGAGAGGCCGAATGGAAGAGCCACATATTGGTAGATGGTGTCCATGAAGATTAGACGCAGGTATTTCCTGTACTTTTGATGGATGGTGATGTGGAAATACGCATCTTTTAGATCCACAACAACAAACCAGTCTCCTCTCTTCAACAGGTGAATGATAGCTTCTAAGGTGACCATCCTGAAACAGTGTGGTTTGAGGTAGGTATTTAAGTCCCTCAGATCCAGAATTGGTCTTAGGCCGCCGTCCTTCTTGGGTACTGTGAAGTACCGGGAGTAAAATCCGTTTTGTATGTCCCGGTTTGGTACCTTCTGGATGGCTTTCCTGTACTTCTGATGGACGGTGATGCGGAAATAAGCATCTTTTAGATCCTCAACGACAAACCAGTCTCCTCTCTTCAACAGGTGTATGATTACTTCTAAGGTGACCATCCTGAAACAGCGTGGTTTGAGGTAGGTATTTAAGTCCCTCAGATCCAGAATTGGTTGTAGACCACCATCTTTCTTGGGTACCGTGAAGTACCGGGAGTAAAACCCATTTTGTATGTCCCGGTTTGATACTTTCCGGATGGCTTGTTTTGCAAGAAGAGTGAGAATCTCTTCTTCTAGGATGGGATCGAACGATGTAGGCTTGATCCATCCTAGAGGAGGCAATTCTATAAATTCCAGCCGGTAACCTGAGCTTATAATGTTTAGGACCTAGGAGTCTTGTGTTATCTTGAGCCAGTTGTGAAGATGAGGAGATAGGCGGGTTGTGTGATTATAGTGGAGATGGTTCTGGTGAAGTGAAAGATATTGTTTTGACTTCCTACCGGATGGTTTGTAAGACTGTCGGTTGTTTGATTGGGGTTGGAAGCTGGAGGTAGATGAAGAGGCCTGGGAAGACCTTAGCTGACTCTGGTTCCGCAAGGAGCGGTAAGTGGAGGGTGTAGACTGCTGATAGGATTGTTGTGAATATTTCGGACGCCATTGGAACTTGGAAGTTCGAAGTTGTTGCTGAATAGAGTAGGACTTTGCTGTCTTTTTACTCTTATGCAGGTTCTCAAGATTCTCATCAGTTTTCTCGCTGAATAACCCAGAAGCATCAAAAGGTAAATTCTCGACCCTGGTTCTAATATCCTCCATGATATTGGCTGATCTAAGCCAAGCATGGCATCACAAGGTGATTATAGATGCAAGATTTCTAGCAGTGACATCAGCAATGTGACGAGATGCCAAGCGTTGATGCTTGGAGACAGTTAAAGCTTCAGCATGAACGTTAAGGCATATCTGCTTGATATCCTCTGATGCGACTTGCAAGGCCGGTAGAACTCTTGCCCAGAGTTGCTTCTGGTATGCACCCATGGCTACCAAATAATTGATTGACCTTAAGACAAAAGTGGTCATGGTGTGTAGTCGACGTCCCAACACTTCCAATTTCCTACCCTCTTTGTTGGAAGCTGTGGCATGACCCTTTGTAGGAATCTTCGAAGAACTGGATTCCACTACTAGGGAATTTGGAGCAGGGTGCTTCAGCAGAAAGGAGGTTTTAGGACCATGAATCTGATAAAGGTTTTCAGTCCTTCTGGATATTGAGGTGGAATTGGCAGGGTGTTCCCAATATTGCATAATAAGATCTAGTAACTCAGGGACATAAGAAAGGCTGACAGGGTGAGACCTTTCTTTGTTAATGTCTCCGAAGATTAGGTCATCTTCACGTGTGGGAGATTTTTCAATTTCCATTCTCAAGGTGGTTGCCATTCTTGAAACCATTTGAGAGTAAGAGGAAAAGTCCTCAGATGGGGAGGATGGGTGGATGTCAACAGCATCCGATCCTAAAGGCTCCCCTGGGAGAGGTGTGTCCAAGGAAGCTTCATATGTCACCTCTTCATCTTGTTCAGAAGAGTCCTCAGAAACCTGATATTCCTCATTAGAGACAGGAAATATGTCAGGGTATTGACCCCTATCTGCTCCAGTAGTGGTTTTCTGGGGAATAGTAGGCTGAGCAGGTCGAGACCCTGTGGCATGACTATCAGGCTTATGCCCTGTCGACGTGGAAGCTCCCTTTCCGACGTCGAGCGTTCCTGTCTATCGACACCGAGGGATTTTCGGTGTCGACGCTTTCTCGGAGGTGAGATAGATGGTGAAGACAAGGAAGAAGTGTATCGTGCCTTCTTCCTTCTTCTGCAGTCTCTCGATGTCGAGGATGACTCTGAAGAATAATCCTGTTTTTGACGTCGAAGGCGGGACCTCCTTCTCTCGAGACTGTCGTCTGAGTCAGAAGAGGAAGTATAGTCTCGATGTCCACGCTTTTTTCTGCCTGTCGACACCGGAGCCATGTCTATGCTTATGATGGCGTCGAGGTCGTTTAGATGGAGGCTCTCCATCCCGATCTGACGATGGATGTCGAGGAGAAGGGACATCCAAAGGCTTCTCAGTTCTCCCTTGAGGTGGAGATGGAGACTTGGAGCCGAGAGATCCCGGTGCCGAAGACTGGGATTCAGACACCCGCTCGGTTAATACAGGGCTATGAGGGGCATTGGCTATTCCAGCAATTGATTGTACCAGCTGGCTAGCCGTTGGTGACCTCTCGACGTTACTCGAAGCCTCCTGTTGAGGCAGTAAAGAGGCACCCATTTCCGACATCGAATCCTGGTCCCAGGAAGAGTCTTCGAATATAGGTGAAGGAAGAGACGTTGATATAGGAGGCACAACCAAGGTGATCTCCTTAGACTTCGATTTGGGTTTAGCCGGCAATTTCTTCTGTTTCAGTTGCTGTGCAGCCTGTGGGGCAGAAGATGTCGAGGGAGCCGACGAAGTGGTAAGTATTTTCTTAGTTGTAGATTTCTTTTTTGCTTTTTCTTTGGTCTTTTCTTTAGCAGATTCAGGAGGAGGTGAGGAAACTATAGTGACTTCTGAACGGACTGAAGAAGTAGATGGGACAGACTCCATATCCGATGGTTGTGAAGCAGATAATGTTTGCTTCCACAAAGAATATTTAAGGCGCTGCTGACGAGCTTTGAGGGTGGCTTTGGTAAACTCTTTGCAGTGCTTGCAATGAGAAGTCAAATGTGTTTCTCCTAGACAGAAGACACAGAGGGAATGTCCGTCCTGAAAAGGCAGTTTTCCGGAACAGGATGAGCAAAGTCTAAAAGGGCCTGTTTTAGGAGATGGTTTTCTTTTTGGTGGCATAAGCTAATAGAAGCAGGAAACCACAAAATAGAAAGAGTCTGGTAGGCACGTGGCGCCTCAGCAGGTGGTAAATAGGCTCCAATTATCCAATTAAGAGAGTACTTGCACTATCGCCAGAGGCAGAAGAGAAGTCAAAACGATCCGTAGTCAGGGCAACAGAGATAAGGAAGTTGAAAAGCCAAGTCCAGGTCAAATACACGAGGAAGAAATCAATTTTTTAAGCTGCTCTAACCGAGAGGTTCCAACTCCGCCAGCGGAAAAAAATGGAACTGGGGTTTGGCGGGCGGGGCATGCGCAATACGTCATCGTCTAGTCGTTTAGTTGTGTCCGACTCTTCGTGACCCCATGGACCAGAGCACGCCAGGCCTTCCTAGCTTCCACTGCCTCCCGGAGTTGTGTCAAATTCATCATGGTTGCTTCGATGACACTATCCAACCATCTCATCCTCTGACGTTCCCTTCTCCTCTTGCCGCCACACTTTCCCAACATCAAGGTCTTTGTGGTGGTCTTTGCGCAATACAGGGCAACTGAAACTTTGTTACTTTTCCCTATAGCTCTAGAAGATTCCGAGAGGCCAGCGCAAGCGCTGTCTTAACCCACTAGTGTGGATTCATAGAGACCACGTTGAAGAATCAGTAATCTATTGACTGTAAGCTGTCTACTGTTAAGCCACTGGCTGTGTTGTTTTTATAAGATGTTTATGAACATTGATATTGACGTGACAGAAGGCTTGCGGGTAGACTGTTGACAAAAGTATTCCTTCTGTGAGGAAAGTGAACAATAACTTCAGCAGAGAAAATTATGCAGAGAGCTAAAATGTAGGAAGAACTAACCCAGAAACCTGACTGGAAGGAAATATCATGCATCTGAAAGACTGGAAGACAGGAGTGAAGAATCAAGTACAAAATGTGGTGGGTCAAGGTGGGGTCAGCTATTAAGAACTGAAAGGAGAGGCTATAATTGGAAAAAATGGGCAAAGACAGGGGTGTACTTTTAACTCGTAAAGAAAGCATGTCTTCACAAATGCTATGATACAATGGTTTTCCCACACCATTACTGTCTCATTTTTCATCAAAGAGAACAGAACACGAATTCAGAAATGGAACCCAGCACATTCTGCAATGAACCTTAAAAAGTAATCTGTTCTCTACCCCAAACTCTTCATTAAGTTCTGTTTTCTGCTTCCCTCATACTATGTGCCATCAACTAAAGTAAAAGAACTAATATTGGCTCAATCTAATCCTGAAAGAGAAGAAGAACAAGTCAGCTTTTGAATTAAATGCCTTTTCCATTCCAAATGTCATACAATCCAACTGACTAGTCCACAAGGCAAAGTGTTCCAGAATATGTTGAGAATGAGCAATACTACTTGCTGTAAAATGTGATTTCATGAATTCTGTATCACACAAATGTTTCAAAAATGCTACAGTAGTGTTGCAAGGCAGACATAATCAAATAAGACTCAAGTGAAATAATAAATAGGGGGAAGGAGATATAGGTCATGTTGCATGATTAAAATTTATCTAAAGCAAGAGTTAAGAAATGTAAGAACCCTTGAAATTATAGATGGGTGAGGATGCTAGGTTTCTTTGAAATTCCCTGCTGCTGCATTCCCTCGTCAGCACAAGTACAGTTTGCTGATTAGACAAAGGGCTCTTGATTAAACTGTTTCAGTCTGCTATATACAACATTCTCAAAGGCAAGAAGGATTTAAATGCTCTCTGCAGAAGCATATTCTTAGAACCTTTAACTTTAAAACTTTATACAGTGGTGCCTCGCTTAACAAGCGCACCGTACAACGACGAAGTCGCATAGCGATCCCTTTTTTGGGATCACTAATGCGATCGCTCAACGTTTTTTAGATAGGGCAAAATTCGCTTTGCGAAGATCGGTAAGCATTTCGCTTACCGATCTTCGCAAAACGAAGCCCCGACAATCAGCTGTTAGGCGGACAAAATGGCTGCCGGAAGCCTGGAAATGACCCAAAATGGCCGCGCGCAGCGTTTTCGCGCCCTCGTTAAGTGAGGGGAGGGCGCGAAAATGGCTGCCGGCCATTAAGAAGCATTGCTGAACGGTGAGTATTCGGCCCATTTGGAACGCATTAAACCATGTTTAATGCGTTCCAATGGAATTCCCTGCCCCGTTCAACGATGCTTCAGCATGGCGAAGGTTAATCCGGAACGGATTAACCTCGCTATGCGAGGCACCACTGTAGTTGTACTGAGCTTCTCAATACCTATTTGTAATTAATTTGCCAGCAATCAATGGTTTCTACAAACATCATTTTATCCAAAATCCATGTTAATAGAAGTGTTTATTTAACATTTACTTATTGCTCATATTCCATTAGCATATGAAAAAATATTAGCTTAGGAAATATCAATATCAATACACTAAAATGTAGCAGTAGTTCTCTGCAGATATAATATAGCGCAAAGAAAAAAATCACATAGCATGAGTCAGAAAAACAAACAAGCCTTATGTTGTTAGGTATTACTTACAAGGAATGTCTCTGTAACCATTTTCTAGTGCTCGAAAGTAATTCATGAATTGCTGAGTTGGAATTTGGAAAATTTCAAATAAACCAGTGTCTTGAAACAATGTGAATGCAACCTGCACATATAATATAACTATTCTCATTTTCCAGAATATTAAAGCACAATAACTTACATTTGTTTTTGTTTTTTCAACTTGTACATTCTGAAATATATAGGCTGGAAGCATGTCTGGAAGTCTGTTAGCTCCAGTTTTCTTATCAACCCCCTTCTCACAGCAATCCCTCCTGTCCTTTGAAACCTGTTCCTGAGAATCTGGAGTAATATGTGATATAGTGCAGAAGGCTGATGTGGGGAAAGGGACTGTGCAGCTAAACCTTCCTTATTCAATCTGTATGTTGAAAACAGGCACACCAAAGGTCAATTTACATAAACTGCAAGATTCAAATATACTCTCAATGGCACCTGTCTCCAGCAGTGGACAGGAGATGAAATGATAGCTGGACGTCTGTTCGCACAACTATGCCTTCATAAGACCAATGGTGTCATCAGCAGGATAACTTTTTTCAGAAATTAAATATTTTCTATTTCTGTCCCATGGCTCCAATGCCTTTCATCTAATCCCTTTCTTATTCGGAAGCTGTGGGAGCCCCAAGATGGGAGGTGAAAGTCTTTAATTACCAAAAATTGCTGCTGCAGGGTTCAACATTGGCAGCCATTTTTTTAATAATTAAGGACTTCCTTCTATCCCACAGCTTCTGATGAGGAAAGGGAATACACAAATGCCTCAAGGAAGAAGTAGGAAATGGTAAATTTCTGAAAAACTGCTCCTACTTAAGACATCATTAGCCCTGAGTGGATGTAGTTGCACAAAGGAGTTCAGCCAAAATGTTCATTAGTTCTTTAAACAGAGTAATCCATATTAATTGCTGGTTATCTTACAAATAATGATTTGCAAACTGAGAGCTATCCTTAGGAACATATATTCCTTCCTCACCTCTCTAGTGCAATTTCTCAATTTCTATTCCAGCATGGTATGTATTACATTGGTTGCTGAGATTCTTACTTAACCAAGGTTTAAAGTTTAAACCCTTGTTTTCAAATCCCTACTGGTTCCTTTAAAAAAATCATTAAAATGACTATGTTCATACAATAATGGGGAAAAACTACCCTATAAATTCTTATGATCAGCTGGAGTAATATCTATTCCATTTTATTTGCACATAGTCATATGTACAATATTGTACAGCTTGTAAGACTAGCTGTATTTGGCTTTCCACGCAGCTTTAAGCTGTTATATAGAAATGTGATGCAGTGTTACTAAAGAGTGGTTTCTACTAATTTCTACTAGTAATTCTACTAGTAACTGGAGTTAGAAAAAATGGCAAAAATTTCATTATTGGAGGAAAATTTGTGCTCATCTTTCTTACAGGATTCCAAACCTTCTTTTTACTTAAGATTTCCCACAATATAAAGTTCAATATTTACGCACATTGAATTTGGAATAGCATATCTGTGCTGCTTATCAGTTCTTATGTGTATGGCATGGCTCAGGAGATTTCATATTCAATGAAAGGCACTAAGATTTTTTTAAAAAAAAATGATATGGGATACTGTTTTAACTTGCTACCTCCAAGCTAAGGAAAACCTGATATACATGTTCACAGCTTTTTGGAATGAGACATTTTCTTGTCTCATTCATTTACAACAAAAACAAACTAAAAGGAAATGAAAAGCACAAGAGGCTGATAGCTATGTTTATTGCCTCAAATGGATCTTAATTCCAGCAAGCACTGTTATATATACTGGTCAAAATCCTGCTGGAAGAAACAACATACATAGAATGGCAATTGCATTTTCCCTTCTGTTAGGCTGTTTTAAATGTAAGTGATTGTGCACCCTATACTTTAGTCAGTACGTAACTGGTTGTGCAACAAACAGCCTGCTCTGCATTTCTTCCACAGGATGCTGTCTATTATCTATGTACATATTTTTTTAAGCATATTTCTTGTATATGATTATATACTATAAAGTGCAATAAGATGCAGAATATGACATATCCACAGGAGCAACAAACCTGACTAAGAATTCTTCTAGATTTATCTCCCATTTTTTGAACAAGGTCAAATATTTGGAAATTCCAGTTGTTCATTTTCTCCATTAATGAATCATGGTCTTCTATTAGCATCAATTCTAATGAAGGATCTTCTATCTAAACAAGAATAAGTATTGGAAAATGATAATGAGGTAAATTTGTTCTGTGCATTTAGCAAAGGGATTTATATTAAAATAGAGTGCAAGTGGTTTGATAATGTAATAGTTTTTGTGTAGAGTCAGATATGGCTAAACAGAAGGATCTCTCAGCTACACAGAATAATAGGGCAGTACAGTGGGGTCTCGACTTGCGAACGGCTCGACATACGAACGTTTCGACTTACGAACCGCTCTCATAGGAATATATGGACTCGACTTGCGAACTTAGATTCGAGTTACGAATTTTTTTTTCCCTTTTTTTTAAAGCTAAGTCATCTTAGGTTAAAAGGAAAAAAGAAAAAATATCCTCCTCTAGTGGCAGAAGGCGGAATAGCAGCTTCCCATTAGTTTCTATGGACGAAAAGAGCAGATACGGATTAAATGATTTTCAATGCATTCCTATGGGAAATGAAGATTCGACTTACGAACTTTACGACCTGAGAACTGCCTTCCAATACAGATTAAGTTCATAAGTCGAGACCCCACTGTAATTCTTATTGTACACATATAATCATTGTAAAAAGCACGTGACAACTGCCCAGGCTTTTTACAAAACCCACATTTTCTCACATCATGAAAGTGAACTTGGATTAGCTTTGTGCATATTTGGCACTGATTTATCATCTAGATGCACAAACTGTTATGTCTTTCTCTCCCTGCAGGAGCCCTAAAATAGTCCTTAGCCTGTCTCAGAAACTCAAAATGAGGTTCTAGCTGCCAAATGAACCTCCAGAATCCTTGGGGAAGAGCATTAGTGTAATAACTCTTGATCACTATTTGGCAGGTAACATCTATTCTTTTTCTTTACCCTCACTCTATGTAGAAAACTCCAGAAATCAGTGCCAAATGAGACATGAGCATCCACAGTAATCTTTGCCTACACAAGTAAATTGGGTATTATGAATAGCAATAGATACGGACGTCTCAGCACATGATTCAGCTTTTGTAACACATCATTCTGTATTTTATTTGAAGATCTTTATTATATCCCAACCAGCAAGCATGCACAATAGCATGCAAATGCAACAAAGTAACGTGCATTAATTATATCCAATATGTCCAGTACATGTCTTTCTGAACCCATACTAACAACTGCATGCAGCTAAGCACAACATGAATCATATACTGTACTATTGATCTTAAAAAGTCATGCCTGTAATTTATCTTATGTATACAGGATGTAAAAAGAAATCTATATGAGGATGGCAATCTCATAACATCAAACTGCAGAAGTATCAAAACTCTTGAAGGACAGCATTTATTCTACATGTCAAGTTCAACAGCTGAATATGAGAAATAAGATATATGTCAGTTGAATGTGTCAAGATGGGTCAGAGATAGGATCTAACACTGGACCTCTACTAATATATCCCCCAGAACTGCTCAACAGAGTTGGGAAACCCCGCCCCCCCAGGAGTTGTTTATCTGAGCAGCTCCACAGGAAAGGACAAAAAGGAAGTTCTATTGTAATGGTACTGCAGCACTACCCATTACTGTGACTTTCAATTTGGATTGGTAAGAACAATTTCAAAGGAAAATGAAAAAAAAATCCCCAAGGATGTTCAGATTGGTCAGTGTTTTACAACTAAAGTACAGTACAGGCAAAGAGGTTCCTGTTAATTTTCTATCACAACAACGGTTGCATTCTGTTTTGAATCCTCCATCTTTTACTGATTTTTGTATTCTGAAAACTTACTTCTCGAGCTGTTTAAGAATGCCATGGTGAATCATCAAACAACACTCTATTGTAGCAAAGCCAAATAAATACAGCTACTAGGTATTCTTTACAATACAATATTAAACCACTTACAAAAACACAGAACTACACTCATTATGTACTGCAATAAAATGCTTACATTTGGTTGATCATTCTCAGTCTGATCCATCTGATTACTGAGATTATCTCTTTTGCCTGTTTCATCACGCTGTTTCTCTGTAAAGTAGGTGGAATTTTTTGAAACATCATTGTTTCCATCTTCACCTTAAATAAATGTAAACAATGCTAGCACTTTATTCAAATATGATCCTAACCAAAAAGAAGAGAAGACTGGCAACCTGCATTCTGTTATATGGCATTACAATACACATTAGAATATTGCAAGGCTTAAGTGCAGTTATTTATTTAGATTAATAGCTTGCCATATTTAAAGAACTCTGAATATCTATCAGATTAGCTTCAATTCAGAGAAACAGCAAAAGAGTAATCCTGAGTAAACTCATACAATATACTATTCTTCCATACCAAAAAGAAAAAGTGACTTTCTACTTTCCTGCTTGGACTGATTCACTTTCATCAATTGCTTCCCCTCTAGAGAAGTAACTCTAGAGGAATTGGTCTAGGAAGCAGCCTTTCCTACATATTCATTTTAGTGAACCTTTTCCTAAGGAGGTTACAACCCTCAAATGAATTACTATCAAAAAAGAAAATGTTCTTTTATCATTAAAAGTTATTTTTAAGGTAACCTTTCCAATAGCTGTTCTATCTTCATAGGTCAAGAAAGAGAATGACAAATTAGAAAGAGTTTGGCATTTTGTCTTTTATTCTAAAAGCTGTGGGGAAACAGATTACATTTTTTTAACATATACAGTACATCTGTGATTTGGGAAGGCTCTTTCTTCCCATTAGCAAAAATAAGTAGAACCTAAGGAAGTCTCCCCATTGAAGTTATGGGATAAGCCAGCTATTTTCACCATTACATTCTACTTTTGGCAGCCCACAGCACCCCTTCCTATGTGGTTCTCAAGGATCCTATAAAATTCCAGAGCAGCTTTTTGAAAAATTAAAGCACGCTAGGGCAGGAGAAGTAGAGAAAAATCACCTCCCTCTTCCAACTGTATGACCGTCAGATTATTTAATTACCTGTTCTGAACAACTCTAGATCTGACTCACTTCAGTTGAAAAGAACATTTAGTAATTACAGTAGAACTACATTATTTTTGCTTGGCTGCATAATTTACTACCTCAAAAGCTTAGTAGTAAGTGAAACAATGAATACCTGTGAAACATAATCCCACCTGATTTGCAGGTCTGATATTCTGCTATAGATTCAGATAGAGAGGCTGAAACTGACTTGAATATCTGTTGTCCACAACTTACAGAAAATAAAAGAGAAAAAAAGTCATTTCTCATTTTTTTTTCACTCAGTTTCCTAATACCAACTTGTGCAGTACAGAAACAGGCTTGGTTCAGAGTTTTCTATACAGTATCACATCCTTGGCAGTTTCTTATACTGAAATTGTTGTCATCATTCATATGGAAATGTTTAATTCTCCCAAGGAGGTGTGTTGCAAGAGTCCACACTTCACCAAAAATCATTTAATTCCCACGTGCAGCACAGTCTACCATCCTATTAACATCACCCTCTTCCCCACCCCTTTTCTTCATCTTTTCTCCTTTTCTGTCTTCCATTTATTACTGGAATTTCTTCCCTTTTTTAAAAAAATTGAGAGATGATATGGTGCTAATTTGAAACGACAACTTAGCAGAGTTAACTAAAACTCTAGTCTGTATTGGGAATAGGATGGTTTATGATTAAAACAATAGTGCTTCCTAGAAATATCATAGAAATAAGAATCAACATGAACTTAGAAGTGTCCTATGCACATTCATACTCAGAATTGTGATTTTCTTTTTGATTAGAGATTTAGAGGTATGGTGGGGATAGCTTGTCCCAACATGCCAGGATGTTTAAAGGAGGGAGGGGGATCTATAGGAAAAAAAAAATACCGCATTTTTTGCTCCATAAAACACACTTTTTCTCCCCCAAAATGTGGGGTACATGAACTTAGAAGTGTCCTATGCACATTCATACTCAGAATTGTGATTTTCTTTTTGATTAGAGATTTAGAGGTATGGTGGGGATAGCTTGTCCCAACATGCCAGGATGTTTAAAGGAGGGAGGGGGATCTATAGGAAAAAAAAAATACCGCATTTTTTGCTCCATAAAACACACTTTTTCTCCCCCAAAATGTGGGGTGGAAGTCTATGCGTCTTATGGAGCGAAGGCAGCAATTTCGTCCCCGCTGGCCCCATAGGGGAGAGCGTCGCAAGGGTCCAGGT